AGTAGGTAGGAACTTCTCAGAACAGAGCAAGAAAGAAGGGTTTCTTCACTGATGTAACCTCTCAACTGACAAACTGAATGTTTTTTGTTTGCCTACTCTGCTATCTTGCGTATTCAGTGAATAGCTCTTTAAAAACAAAAAAAATTTACTTTTTTTGCACATGTAAAATCTTTTTCTTTTTGATTTTGGGCCTAATTATTATGTTTGAGTTTACAAGCCCCCAGAAGTCTACATTTGTCATTCTTAGTTCAGCTCCAAAAGATAGACTGATATGAAATACTTTTAAATGTTTCTAGTGATACTAGGTCAGCATCATAAAGCACAGCTCTCAGAGTAAACAGTTTGCAAATAATCCTTTGGCTGAAAACTGAAAAACTCTATGGTAAATACTGAAAATGAATAGGAAAAATAAACTAAAAATAAATCCCCTTCTTAAGATTTCAAATCTAATGTCTCATTAATCCCACTTGATACTGTGAGAGGTGCTAGAACAAATGATAGTCCGTGTCAGTTTAAAATACTATCCCTTATTTAAACACAACAAATAAAATATTCATTTCCACTCTCTCCTTGGGATTTCTAAATGCCAAATCATAAAGACTTTTTTGCAGCCACAGAAAAGGAAGCTTTCAAACTACATAAAATGAGTATGTTTAGTAAGTCTTTAGCTCTCCCGGTCCTGCTTATATGAAGTAATAGGTGCTCCTGAAGTCCTCCACTAGCCATAATACTCCTGACACTGCTATTCTATGAACTCTTCACTTGCTCGAGTTGCAGGCAGAACATGCTCTGCAGCTACTGATTAATTTGGTTTGCTTTTACTTGGAAAAGCAAGAGTTCCTGGACATTTTAGCAGTTCCTTTCCTTGGGGAAAATGCCCAGTCTATGAACAGGAAATGAAGATGATGGCCTGCCATGCTGGAAACAGTACCTTTGTCCCAGCGCTATTGGTTTTAAACTGATCTTGCCATAATGGTCTTCCAGGCTTGGCTGTGTTGGCTGAAGCAAAGACTACTCGCGTTCACATGGCACAAGGTAAGGGAGCTAAGTAAACAATCTTTTGGCACAACCCATTTTTTTTTTCTCTTACTGTTCTTTGTGTCGAGTCAATATCAGCTCATGGGCTGAGGAGCATGACTGACAACACTCCTGTGAGACTGTACTTTGTGATACAGCATAAAGAAATACGTGAAGTACAGACTTCATTGTGGACATAGGTAAAAAATTCTCGAAGTGCTTCTGTAGAGTTCTGAATTAAGCCTCTGCTGCCATACCACTAAGAGTTAAATTACATCTCCTCACTTCAATTAATATCATGAAACATATTGAATACTGTTAACTGATGAATTCAATTAAATCTACAGTAAAGCTTGCATGAGAATTGTTGTTTTATATTGGAATAAAATAGCATAATTTCCAAAGATGTAATGAATTATTGATGTCTTTATAATGAAATATGCACACTAAAAACCCTAGTTAACTGTCAAGTTGAAAGAACAAAAAGTCAGGCAATGCATATTTTCAAAATAAATTAGAATTGGGGTCATTCTAACCTTTAGTTACTCAGTACATGTGTCTATAGTTATGTTTTCACATGTTCTAAGCCTGTAGAGCCTCATCATTCATACGTTTTCAACATCAGTCAGAATACCAGCAATAGAATGCTGTATTTTTATGGTTAATATGTAGCATTGTCATATTCTAGAAAATGGAAGGATATAATCTTTGTTCTTCAAACCCAAAGTACTTGAAGTAGGCAAATCAGGCTGTCTGGAGTGTGTTTGATTTCTCCCCCCCTTCTGTCCTTACTTTGAGGGGGGATAAATATTCAAGTATATTCTAACTTCTTTTTCTATTGTATGAACAGCAGTGTTCAACCGTATATTGAATGTATAATTATTTATATGGAATTATTTTAGTTTTGATTCTCTGATGTAATAGAATATTTCACTGGGAAGGACCTATAATGACCATCAAGTTCAATTGTCTGACCACTGCAGGGCTGTAGAAAAGTGTTTTCTGTGGGTTTGATTCTGAGAAGACTCACGAAAATATAAGAGCACGTAACAGGTATGTTACCTGCTAATCACTTCATTCTAGGTCTGACTAGTAAAAGAATTTCAGAAACAAAAAGTAAAAATTTCTTGCAAGTCCAAACAGAATACTGCTACTAAACAGAGATGTCTGATATTGTGGTAATGATGTAGTAACTTTGATGGAATCAATAATTTAAGACAATCAAATGTTCTAAAACATCTTATTGCTCTCTGCCCCTGCTCCCCTACCCCCCCCCCCCCATTGTAAGAGTATGTTGAATAAAGGAAATTCAATGTACTTAATATCAGAAAAAGTAATTGATGCTAGAGCCAGCTTAAGCCCGATAATCTGGATAAAAGAGGAAAAAGTGCTAAAAAATAATATACTATATGCAAGCCTTTTTCCTTAAATGATTTTTTTAAATGAGGAAACATCCCTTTCCTCAGTGTTTAAACCATCTAAAGGCTATCAGTAAAGCTGCATTTGGGGTGAAAAGGGCAGAAAAGATGGAAAGCATATTTTTGGTGCTGAGTCTTAATTACAACCTGATTGATGACATTTCATACTGTGTGCTATAGCAATACAAGATATAGCAACCACTGCCACTGTTGGACTGTTTGCAACAGCATTTGTAGCTACTTTTGTGACTACAGGTGTGTAGTATTGTTGTGAAGTTACTTTGTAATGGCTCCTGCTTTTATTCAGAAAACAAACAAGAAAAAAAAAAAGAAAAAAAGAAGAAATGAGGTTCAAGACTTGACCAAAACCAGGAAAGGATTGACAGCCTTAAAGTCTTCTTCTAGCCAGGATCTCTCACAGTACAGTACATCAGAGGTCAATGATGTTATTCTGGATCCTGGATTTATTAAAGATGGGGAATATAAAGTGAAACAATTGGAAAACTAATCTGTAGTTCTTTTTGCTCATAAAACAATCCCGAGAAGGAACAAAGATACCAGTTATACTAGAGCAGAACTATCCCATGTCCTTGTTGTAGTTACCCTGTACATATGTAAATGAGTATGGCTCCCAACCTAAACCCGTTTGGGCCCATGGGCAGCGTATGCAACTAAACATCTTCTGTGTGACTGGCTTTGTCTGGGCAATCAACATTTTGCACTGCTGGATAAGACACGATCTGCAAGTCCTGTTTGGCAACGTGCGAGCGGTGTGTTATTTCCTCCCAGCCACCTCTAGTTGGCACTCGTGTCGGCGCTTTGGGACACAGGCTGTCCCCCGCTTGTGCTACAGGGGCTTTGGAGTTTTGTTCGAGTGACTGTGTACTTCTTAATGTGTATCACCACCTTGCTACGCACCAGTAGTAAACCTTCGACCCTCTTTGAAAGCCACTTCAAAACAATCAGGTCAACAAGACACGCTAAGCTGCTGAGCATAACATCAGTTGTAATTGCGTGGTTATCTTGCACTTCACATTTGAGATTTCCCCAGTGTTTTACACTTAAAAAAAAAAAAATTGCACAAGTTTAATTCTTCTCCAGGTGAACTAACCATTTTTAGAGTCAGTCCCCATTACTCATTAAGGCTGTTATTATAATGTTTAATGCAAATGTTAAGGTCATTAACATTTTTCAGCTGGCAAGGTACAATTTTCTAGGAAGCTCTTTGGTGACTTCCTTCTCCCTCAGCTCTCCAGAATCTGCTAATGAATGTAAATGTACACATCTGTGCTCACGTTTGTACTGATGATGCACATGTTCATTTTGCATAATTTTCCTTTCAGCTGGAGCCTTGAAATTGTACTGGGGTTAGAAGTTAATGCCTCAATAAAGACATTTCCATATGCAAATTACTCTCTGAAATCTTTAAAGGCAGAAATGAGATTAATATTAATATACTAGTTATATTATTAGACTTGTAATACTAATACAGCTTAACAGCTTAGAAACAATTTGGTTCGTAGACATTGTATTCTGTATTAGTCAGGACTAATAAAGTTAATAGGGGGATATTTGCTGATCCGTGAAATTCATCAGGGTGGGTACAACAAAAGAACTGAGGTGCCTGTTAATTTGTATTAGAAGTTGATGCACAAAATCACCAGTTACAAACGAATAGTGTTGTATTTAAGCACGCCCGTTGAATGACCCCGGAGCAGAAGGATTTTTTGCATTATATTTTTTTATTTGCACACTGATATTTTTCTGCCCGTCTCCTGGAGGAGACGGCAAAGTCCGTTGACTTTGAATCGTATTTAAAACGGGGCCCTGA